TTTTTAAAGTAACAACTCAGAATGAAACAGGAGTAACAACTTTCTACTTCTTACCTTTTTAAAAATGTAGTGAGTAGAAAGTACAGATAATTGTGTAAAAATGTAATGAGTAAAAGTACAGATAATTGTGTAAAAATGTAATGAGTAAAAGTACAGATAATTGTGTAAAAATGTAATGAGTAAAAGTAAAAAGTACGCTGAAAAATAATTACTCATGTAAAGTACTGATAAACAAAATTTCTACTTAAGTACAGTAATAAAGTATTTGTACTTAGTTACTTTACACCTCTGATAAATATGGWTTTAATGTAAATTCAGGTTATAATTCTACCAGATTTCTTAAAGTGACAATGTTTTCAAACCAGATCCATGATTATTGCGTCATTTAAGTCTTTTTAAAGTTCCTCCAGTTAAACATAATGTTMTGCTAACATTGTTAGCATATAATGAGTCTGATCAGAGCTGAGCAGCAGCAGAGTTGAAGGTTTTAAATGTCTCAAATGACACATTTAAACTGTTTTCTGATCACAACAACAAGTTGAATCAGATGTGTGTAAACTGATCTGAGGGACGTTTTGGGTTTTAAATCTGAATWAAATCTAACAGAAGCTTTTCTCAGTTCAGCTTTAATCAAAAGGATAATAAAACAAACGGAACCTGACAGAACCCGCCTCGAACTGACACTGGGCCAGTCCGGAGCTAACCCACCGAACCGGGCCTTTCCAGTCCTCCATACACCTGGACCGGACCCAGACCTGTCTCTGACTCCTGTGCCTGTCCCTGGTCCCAGTACCGGTCCCTGGTCCCAGTACCGGTCCCTGGTCTCTGACAGCCTCGGACCGAACTGACTTCCAGGTTCGGTAAACAACAACAGGTCCAAACTTCATGCTAACAGAGGTTAGCTGCAGCTGCCACAGCGATTAAAAACGGAACAAATGTGTTTAACAGCCTTCAGCCATAAAAACAAATACATCACAGAGCTTTTAAAACACCCGTAACAAGTAAAAGTTAGATCGTTTTAAACACAAACGCGGAAATGAGTCTGAGGACAGGCCGAGGGACACTAACCTGGAGCAGAAATCTGTCCGTTTCTCTTCATCTGAAGTTAAACATCACTAATTTAATCTGCTGTCAGCGGCTAAACGTCCTAATCCAGGTTTATATTAAACATCTGTAACTCTGATGAATCAGTAAATACTACTGTGAGTTCTGCTAACAAGTTACCAAACTCATCGGCCCTTTAAGCTAATCAGAACACACGTCAACCAGCAGTTATGCGTCATGACGTCACACGCTCAACAGGAACTGTGCGTCAAGATAGAAAATAAAATGCTACTTTTATCCTTTATAGCAAATTTAAAACCTATAGTCATTGTAACTTTGAAAAACTTTAACTTTGTTAAAATATTTAACCTTATTTACAAAAAAAAATACTCTCTTCTTATGATCCTTTGACCTTTAGCTACTCTTGTTTTGCTAATTTAAGCTTTTAGCTGTTTTGCTCCATTTAGCTTTTAGCTAGGGTTCTGCTAAATTTATTCTGGATTAAGTACTCCTGGCTTAAATTTCAAACTTGTGTGAAATAATTCCCCATTGATAAATKTAATTATTAGATGAATTTCCTCACGGATAAGAACCTGATTCTGAGACGATCACTGATTGGACATCTGTGCAGTTCCTGATGTTCTTCATGTTCTTTGACTTTCTTCAAAACAACCTTATAAAATACAGGTTTTCAAAAAAAAATTTCAAACAAGTTTAAAATTTTATATTTTTGTTAT